TATCTAGGTCAACACAATTCATATTACAAATTATTATCTAATTACTATGGAATAGATTTTACCTTTCTTAATTGATTATGTCCTTGGATAGTCTCTCTCTCTCTCTCTCTCTCTCTCTCTCACACACACACACAAATTATATATAGGAGTGAGTGAGAGTGAGAGTGAGAGAGAGAGAGAGAGAGAGTTAGTGAGTTTATTATTATCAATTATATTATATATTATCAATTGTGCTATTACGGATAATAAAGTTTTTGTTTATCGTACTTAATTCAGTATAAAACAGTAAGACTAAATCCATAAAATAGCTCTTTAAGTTTAGTTATTTTAAATTATATCATTAGTATAGTATTTTTAAAATGTCCATGCTCCGTAATACTACGTGCTTTTTGCTGTTTGTGTCGCTGGTATTTCAAGTATCACAGGCCGCGACTGTGGGTAACAGGTAATAAATTGTGCTGGATATATTAAAAATTATGTTCTATATATAAATATATTATTATATCAGTAAATTACATAGCTAATAAATAATTTTAATAAATGTTTAATTTAAATAATATTACCAAAATCTATTTAAACAAGTTAGCAACTTTTATTTTTAAAATATGTATTTATTGTTACTGTTAGATTCCCTTACTATTAGTTTATTATTATTTTTTAATTATACACTTATTTTATCTGGGTCAGGACAAATGCCCAGGCCAACTCACCGCGCACATTACTCGCCATACTAAACTCGAACATAATGAACCAGGGCAATCGCAACACGTGGATCAACGCGGCTATTAACAAGTTCCGGTTTAATTTTGAGAAATTGCAATCAGCTCAAATTCCAGAGGCACAACTATACACGTACACGAGTGGGAACCCGGGCCAAACCCAGAACTGGGGTCCGGCTCAAAAATTGAAATACATATCATTTTCTCAGGAAACGCCCCAGCACATTAATTTTGAAACATTATTAACAAACGGACACAATATGTTTCAAGGCAAATCCGGTCCAAGTGTCTACACTATATTAATTGGCGGTCATAGCGTGGACCCTGCTAACACGCTGGCCAAAGTAGAGTCATTGGCAAATCAACTCAAAGAACAGCAAGTTAAGGTAATTTATAGTATAATTTATACTATCTAGATCATTGAGTTCTACGTATTACAAATTATTAAATAGTAATACATATAGCCTAGCACACAAATCAGCGCAAAAATTTCCACTCTTATCTACATTTAATCCCTTTATGTACATACTAGGTGTAATCCCTTTCCAAATTTGATAAACAACATTATGTGATTAAAGTAAATCCTAATGCAAATGTGATTATCCAAACATTTGTTTTACACAGTGTATACAATTATCTATTTTTGAATTATTTCTCATTGCGCTGATTTGTGTGCTAGCATATAGCATTAATAAATGTCAATGCTACCTACTTTTGAAACTCAATGATCTAGATAGTTTATAAATTATTTTATTAACTATTGTTGTTTCAAAATAATTTCCAAAATAATAATAATTTTAAAACTTATGTTATTTTATGACCTAGATAAATGTAGTGGAGTACCCAGCGATTACCCAAAACCGAGATTTTGCCCTTGGTCTGTTTAACAAAGCCGCATCGGTCACCGGGGGCAAAGTATCGTCAGTAGCTGAGCATGGTAAATCGTTTGCCAGCGCCCTGGAGCTAATACACGCCATCGACTCGGACGTGAAACTGTACCGGATCATTGCCGAAAAGGTGTTTGACGATCTAAGGCCCA